TATCCAGAGCTTGTGACCATTGGTGAGGGTAGGGACACAGACTGACCAGTAAACAGAGAGCTTTGCCTTACAGCTCAGCTCCCACTTCACCACAAAGTACTGGTACAGACTCCGCAATACTGCAGAAGATGCACCAATATGTCTCCCAATCTCACTCTCCATTATTCTCTCACTCATGAAAACTGAACCTAACTTTAATATACTGGTTCATCCTCTATGTTTCAATACATTTTTTTTTTCAATTATTGAGTATAATATTGTAAGCATTGCAATTAGTGAAGCCACCCCTTTGCCAAAAAAAAAAAAAAAATGGGCGGATGTAAATACTATGTATAGGCAGAAAGTTGCAGCCACAAGTAGAAGTGCAGTGAGTTGGTTTGATCTCTCAACACACTCTCCCACTAAACTCCATCATGCGTGATCTCCTCCGGTAGCTCAGGAAAAAACTGTTGTTAACAGAATCAGTATTGTCACGTCTGTTTCCCATTGTAGCCACAGCTAATTGTTGGCCAAATTACCCGCCATCCATGTGACCAATTACAAAAGTTAATTGACTTATTCAGGGTGCATTCACCCACCCTTAAGGAGCTTTTCCTCTTTGGAGAGAAGGATCTTTGCGCTTCGCCTCCTGTGTGTCATTAATGCCTTTATGAGTCAGCAGTTCCTGAAATGTTCACATGAACAAAAGGAAGCTGTTCACCTTACAAGCAATTGGGGTTGTGGCAAAATAGGGAGTCATGTCAGCTGTAGGAAATGAGTTTTTGTCAAAGGGCTCAGTGAGACAAGTGGAGGATACTGTGGACAAATTAACATTTACCTCCAGTACTAATCCAACAACGAATGAAACATGATGAACCTAGATGGCTTTCTGATAATGAATTGTTATGAATTTTAATTATTTTTGGACACAAGCACAGTATCTGAAATGGAAACATTAATTTCAAGTTTTATATGACAAAAGGAAGGTTTTTCTATTTGCTGCTGACAGACTTAGACAAGGACTGCACATTTCCATGCTCTGTTTGTTTTTACACTTTTTGAAGTGTGCATAAAATTACATCTTTCAACTTAAATCAGGAACTGCAAATAATGCTGATAAAAAAGAAGAGAGGTGGCACAATTTAAGGTAAAATAAAACTATTTCCCAAAAGAAAGCATCATGCCAGCTGTCTTGTATGCTTAGAATTTAAACAAAGATCCTACGCAATCTGTTAGCACTTTTTATGCTAAAATTGGGCTCAATATCTGTGGAATTTACTTTTTTTATGTTTTCTATGGGTTTCTAGCTGAGGTGTCCATATTAAATTTTAAAAAAATAGTTAGAGATGTACATCTAAAGACAGTTTTCTGTAAGTTTCATTCAAATATGTTTACTGGTTCATGGGATATTTTGCAACCAGATAGGCAGAGAAATTAACACTCAACAAACATTTTAATTGTTTTTTTTTTTATATAAATAAAACTTGAAAGACACAACAGCAGGAAGAAGAATTGTAGGTTCAAGCAGCTCCAGACAAAAGAAAATAGTCTGAGGTTCTGTTTCAAGTGCTGGTCAACTGGACTTCTGCCAGAGAGTTCCCTTTAGCCATTTTTGTAGATTATTGTACTATTTTGTAAACAACACCCAAAACTATTACCATTTTGCACCCATGCTCTTACAACATTTATGTATCATTATCAGAATCAGCTCGGAGTGATACTGCACAAAATCGGACTAGTATGGAAAATGTGGCAATAAATGTTCATAACTGTGTTCATTTGCGTTACTTTGCCGTACGTATTTTACTGACAGCTGGATAAAGGTGGCATCTCAGTTAGCTGTTTCCATTGGAGACTAGCTGGTGACATAAAAGTGAGCCCAGGCCATGGCGCCACTTGTCGAAAGGCCAGGTTTTGAAAATGACAGTCTATTTTGTGTGCACAGCTTGCAAAACTGCATTACTGGTAGTCTACACCATCTTCCTACATCACACTCACCTTAGCTCACTTTGTACCCACTTGGCAGCCACCTCCACGTTTAGGATTTAATCTGTGGGAGAACACTTATGAAATGAAAATAGGCCAGTTTGGTTTAGTTTTTTAATAAAGTATAAGTTTTTAAATAAAGTACCTGTGATGGACTCACGACCTGTCCAGGGTGTACCCCGCCTCTTGCACAGTGACAGCTGGACATGGGCACAAGTGATCCCTGCAAAACGGAAAGGAAGAAGCAGGTAAAGATAATGGATGGACGGGTGGAATAAGTATTGTTTATCAGTAGCATGGATTTTAGACCTGGTTATTTGCCACAAACATTTACTGTAAGAACAGAGCACCCTGAATATAGCTCAATTCATAACTGATCAAATCTAGGCTGGTACAAGTCAAATTTGAGACGTTTCTGACTATTTTGTAAACAGTGTTTGTCACACAGATTTTTTGAGACTTATTTTCTTAGTTGTACACAGTACATGCATTTATGTTCTATTCTGTTGCTGCTATTACTTCTTGTCACTAGATGATGCTACTGTGACAGAGTAAGGCAGGCAAAACAGAGAAAATAGAGTAAGGTATAGAATATTGTGGTTCTGTACTAACATCTGGCACACTAGCTGTGATATAGTTGGTGAGTTTAACCTTTGTCCCCAATTTATTACAATAGCCATAAAAATAATATTCAAAACTCAAGCACAAGACTGTGTTGCATGCAAAACCATTGAGGACCTTGTAAATGTTGTAAGACATTCTGGAGCCTCCTTCATGAATGACAACTAGTCCCAGTCTAGTGAAATGCTACCTTAAAGGTACCTCCTCTGGAAAAACTTCTCTAAGTCATGCAGTTGCTCAGATACTATGAATAAAATGTCCTTGCCAGGTGATGGATGAATGGAGGGATGGGTTAATATAGATAGTGTGATGTATAAATCTACTTTCCCTCAGTACAAAAGTGTACTTCAGTAAGTCATCAAAATTGTGGCAGCTGCCAAAATGGGCCTTTATAGCCCAAAAGTATGGGTACTTAGTTTGTGGCAACAAGGTCCATTTGTACTTTGATTTGGCCGCAGTACAAATTGACCTGGAGGCCCCTGTTGTTTCTTCAATTCCAGCTCTTTCTGCTGATGTTGATTAGTGCATTTCTGTAAATATGTAACAATACTGGCATTTTTTAATTATGTACTTTGTCAAAAAATGGAAAAACAAGCAGCAAAATAAAACAAAAGTGGAGCAAATTTTGAGGGGGGAAACACAGGTTAATGTTGTCTGCAAGCACCACCATTAATACAATGCACTGCATTTTTTGCCACACTGAAAAACACCACTCCCATCAGAATTGAAATGTTCCATCTGTGAATAAAAATCATCACTCATACCACCTATTTGCAGGAGGGTAAAGTGGGATAAAAGCATCAGTAAAATGGTCCCTACAGCAAAACACGGGTACCCAAATGCCTGATTGTGTGTTCCAACTGTTCGGGTCTGTGCTGTTGTCTTTGTTATAACCCACATGCACTCACACGTGCTGAGAATAAAACTGAGCAATGACTCATCGAACTAGATCACTTTTTCAAAACCATGTAGATAAGTGCCCATTATTTTTCTACCTCAGAACTCTCGCCTGTGGACTTATCTCTGCACTGAAGGGTTTTGCACTGCAGCCTACATGATCGAGGTTCAGATGCCTCTTTTTTACTAAAAAAAATCTTCCTGTTGTGAATAAAGTTCTTGCAACACAGAGACTAACACTAAATCATCTTTCAAACCCACCTAGAACCTTTCCTTCGTACAAAATTAGTATGAAAGAATAGCATTTTTTGAAGGAATGCATGTTTCCTACTGTACTTCTTATGATGAAAAGGATAAAAGTTTAGGTCAAAACTTGTAAATGCAGCTATGCTCATTCTTGTGATATTTTGTCTGTACATAATGGGGAAGACCCTCTGCTCCTACCACATCAGATTTAGGTCAATATTTGTAGATCTAATTAAACTGTAGCCATTATGAAGTTGGTTCAAGTCAGTAAGCTGTAGTGGCCATCTTAAGGTTGATGTACAGTACTCCAAATGTTGAAGACTTGTAGATGCACAGCCGACAATCAGTTTCTGAGCGTTTCACTCTAATCTGTCCAGTGGTTCATGGGATATTTTGCTAACAGACAGACAGTGTTTATTGTAACAGTTAATGTTAAAACATTAAAGCTCATGCTCAGTAATCCAGGTAAAAATCCAGCAAAGTTACGTCAGGTCCTCTGGATAGTTTATTTGTGTTAAAACCTTTTGTCTTTCATCCAAAGTACTTCATCAGTTCAAGGAGCCACAACAAACTTAGTATTTTAAGTAGCACACTCACATAGTGGGCCAACCAGTTTGATGGTAATAAAATGGTTAGACAAGTCGGCGGAGGAGAGGGTGGACTCCAGAGACCATCACCATCAAACTGGTTGGCCCACTATGTGAGTGTGCTACTTAAAAGACTGAGCTTGTTGTTGCTCCTCGGACTGATGAAGTCCTTTGGATGAAAGACGAAACGTTTCAACACAAAGCTGAAGAAGACCTGACAACTTTGATGGCATTAATGCCAAAGTTTTAGGCAAATACGTTACTCAATGTGTGGAGTTTGAAGTATGTGTTAGGAAAGACAAAAAAAAAAAAAAAAGTTTACCAACATATCTGGAAAATTGACTGAGTCCGAACAATTGTGTCTGCCAAGGTTGCTTTCAGATGAGGCTTCCATTTTGAATCAGATTTTTTTTCAAACTGTAATTAGTTGTGTGTGATTACTTTCTGAGAGTCTCATTTGATTCTGTCCTATGGTTTGTGAGATATTTGTGAGAAATAGTACGGACAAACACACAAACACAAAGAGAATAGGATAAAATCATAAGGAAATGATTTCTGCCTACTGAAAGAAACTTGTAAAAATAGGACACTGTAATATCTAATTATGCTGCTCCCTGACTATAAGTTCCTCTCAGCACACCAGCAGACATGCTAAATTACTGCAGATTTCCTGAAATGTCACAGCCTACAAGGATCCGTACCGCCACCAGACATGCGACAGAGGCTCAGGCTGTTGTTGACAGTGCTGCCGCCTGGCTGTCAGCTCGCCTGACCAGCGCCGGCAGCAGCACCACTGGCTGGAATGATAAAGATCGAGTGGATAGGATGTGACAAGTCAAGATGGTTGAATTTGTGCACTAGCGGCCCACCAGTGCCAATCAGAACTGACTCTTACAGCATTTTCTTTGTGTGTGTTTGGAGGAGGACAGTTGTGTCAGATTGTGTTGCACTGCTGTATGACCACTGGGGCTGCAGATGTGACAGCAAGGCAGTCAATATTTGTCAGAAGGTGCATAGTGAGCTTAACAGTGTTTTTTTTTTCTTGTATAAATACTTGTAAAGAATATTGTATTCATTCCATCTATTAAAAATATATTTTAAACATAAAATATAACTTGTTAAAAAAGGAAGCAATTATTGGATGTACAACTGGTTAACTTTTAGAGTCAAGCTGATTCAAGATGGCTGCCACAGCTAATGGCAAACACAAAAAGCAAACAAATAGGAAACAGAAAATGGTTAAAACTGTTAGGCTAACTTTGTCATGTGTTAGCTGAAACCCACCTCGCGCACACACACAGAGTGCTAACGGATTACACAAGATCTTTGCCTAAATTGTAGGCATTAACTATTTGAAGTCAACTTTGTTAGCAAAATTTCTCATGAACCACTGGACGGATTTTAAAGTAGCTCAGAAAGTAATGATTGGACATGAATCTACAGCTGCTTATGCTTTGGAGCCAACCTGATTCAATATGGCTGCCACAGCTTATTGACCTCAGCAGACACAAAATCTATACAATTTAGTCAAGAAATCATTCAAATCAAATAGAGTTTGGTGTGGTAGTATATGAGAGTAGTCCCTAACACATTGTACTTCAATACACTTTAATTTATAACCTTTTTTTTTACTTTCTTAAAAAAATGTTTGCCTGGACTTGTAATTATTTTATTAAACATTTTTACACATGCACAGAACCACTTAGTGTTTTACCTTAATTCTCCATTCCTGTCTGCTGATCCTGCCACTGTTAAACTTCGATCGTGCCCTTAAATGGTTATCAACTGAGAAAAATGTAAATGATGCTAAAAGGAAAACATCAGCTATATTTGTTTTGTAAAAACTTTTGACCATGCAAAAAATATCATCTCTTGGCATTTTGATTTATCATTAAAGTTGACATTCTTGCTATCTAGAAGCAGAGTATGTGTATTTTAGCATTATTGCTGTAAATTGTGTGGAATGGCAAATTAAAACAATATTAATATGTTTTATTATGACTATAATAAAAGTATAATTTGTCATTATCAGTTGTCACTTTCAGTTGTGTAAAGGAGGCTCCAGTCTAAGCATGCACAAAAACGTGTGAGAAAAACACATAAAATAAATGTAATACCATATCTGTCTAATTATTTGGCCAAATGTATTTTCTGCTTTTGCTTTGTCATGAGTATGACTTTGCTCTGGACCTGAATGGGTTGTTTGCTGTTGTTTTTATGTCAGCTGGCAGTTTTACCTATTCATGATAGACTAGCTAAACTGTGCTGCATAATATATTTACTTTTTACCAGCTACAAACTGGAGACATTATTTTTAATGAACATAAACATATCACCGTGAGCAATTTCACTAACCTTCAAGGACTAACTTCCCTTGTTCGGATCTCTGTGTGCATCCAAAGTTCGTGTTCTTTAGCTGGCTTTGAGGCAAATCAAATTAAAGGGGAAGGGGTTAATATCACATTATGTAACAGAAAAAAAAAATTTGGATTGCATTTTTTTTTTCATCTCAAATATCCTTTTTTTATCATAGCAGTTTTAAGGAGCTATTAAATTATTTTTATTGAACCCTTATTAAGAATATTTTCTAGAAAGTATAACAGGTGTAGGTCTCTGTAGGACTAAAAAAGTTGATGGATTTTGATTGATAAAGCACAATTACAACTATTTGAGTTTTTTTAATAAAAGCTCTGAACTGGGTTTTAACCAAACTGATTAATTAAGGTGACTACTGTGGGGACTCCTCATTAAAAAGGAAAGAGTTATCATATGGTTATTTTGAGCTCAATAGAGAGCCTGAATCATAATAAAATGGGCAATTTCACCTAAGTCCCCCCTCAGGGTAACTGGCAAACTAAAGAGGGATTTGATATGAGGGGTATGAGGGCTTTGATGGCGCGTTATCGGCTGGGTAATTTGTTCGTGTGTAAACATGAATTACTGTTATCTAAGTGCCCCCTGACAGCCGATTGGCTCCTCATTAGGCCTCTGTGAAATGAGATTAGCAACGAGGCTCTAAATTACAATCCAATCCCAGAACACATAATCTCTCACACATACTGTATGCCCCTCAGTGTGTCTCAATGCTTTATCTATTTCTGTCAGCTATTTTATTTAACCCCTTTTTCATCTACTTCTTCTTGCCTTGTTACCACTCTCTAAATCAAGCCTCTTATTTCATGACCTCTCGGTGTGTTTTCCCACTCAGGGTGCAACTGCAGCGGGAGATCTGACGAGTGCGTGTTCGACTTGGAGCAGTACAGGAGCACTGGCAGTGCGGGGCGCTGTGTGAACTGCAGAGACCACACTGATGGACCCCATTGTGAGCGCTGCAAAGAAAACCATTACAGAGAATTCCCAGAAGAGCCCTGCCGACACTGCAACTGCAATATCAACGGTTAGCTGCAATTTACAAACACCTAATTGGCTTGAAAATAGTTTGAAGACAGAGCATCATTATTTGTTGCTTTGCTACCAAATGATTGGAGTGGTTGGTTTACGCTCCCCACACACATGTAGGTGTGTGTGGCAGGGGGGTAAACTAGCCACTCCAATCATTTGAGGAATGTATGTTTTCTAGTTTTTATATTGCTTAAGTATAGTTTTCTCATTGGGGTGGCCTTTGGGGAGGCGAAAGATAAATCTGTAATGCCCAAAGACCACCAACGCCACCCCCTTTCTCCATTGTTATGTGTGGTTGTTGATAAAAATGCTTTCATCAAACACTCATCTTGAAAACTACTAACATTCACTATTCAAATCCCTTAGAGATTGAGGACATTAGTGTACTGCTTGTAGTATATATATATATATATATATATATATATATATATATATA